CAAGTTCTGTTCCCAGACTGAATTAAATAATATAATTTTCTATGTCTGTGTTCCCATCAATTATACCCTAATCATCATGCTCTCCTGAATGAGGTTCTGCCCCATTAGCAGCAGTGGGGTAGAACACTTTCAGTCTTTTGATTGGAGAGTTGTACATAGATTCTGAAATCTTAATCAAAACTTACTTCTAAAAAAAAAATCCTATTTGACTCAAAAAGGCCAATTCCAAAGCCTTGATGTATCCTACTGTATCCCAACCCTTTCTGAAGTCAAAACAATACATTTATTATTATTATTATTTTTTCCCCCATTCACTCATACATTCTCTACCTAATCTTCACATCTTTAGGTGATCATCTTTATGGTTCAAGTTTATCTTTTTGTTTGTTTGGGATGCAAACAGAGCAACTTTGAGACTTCTGAACTCCATATAATGTCCATCAACTTTTCATAATGTCCATCACCTTTTCAGTCCTCTCAGTTCTACTAACTAGTCCTTGATCTTTTCATTTGTTCTCTCTAAATGTGAAATCATAGTGATAACCTATTCTCATTCCTGCTTTCTTTTTATCACTCAGTCCAAGTGAATGGTAGTTCCTTCAAGAATGAATCATATGAGCATAAGTATTTTTTGAAGCTGGTAGAAATTCTTAAGTTCCTGATATACTTTATGAAGATGTACTCCATTCACCTGAAGGAGAAAAAACAACTGAGCTTCTACAGGTACAAAGGTATTTATTTTGGAGGGGAACTGCACTGGCTGATATCATTATTTTTTCTAGCCTGATTTTTTATCAGAATATCTGGTTTCACTTAAAAATAAAAATAAAGATTTTAGAACTGAACACAAATGTTGTGTCTCTCAATACACAATGTACATACATTTAGATCCTCCCAAACCACAGTGAAATAATTAACTTAGAAAATTAACCTGCTCATGGAATTCTAATTGTGAGCTAGGTGCTTTTCAAAAGCTACAGAGAAAAAACTGTAACTAGACAAATATGTTCCATATATATATATATATATATATATATAAAAGGGAAAGGGAAAGGACTCTCTTGAAAAGCATTATTGTCAAATAATTAAATATTTGGTAGTAGAGATTTTATCCCATCTAACTGTCACTGCTTGTTAAAGTGGCTAATATTTATGGACTTTGGGGAAATATTTATCTCTTTAAGTTGTACTTGTATTTCGGAGATTGTTCTGTGATTATACCAACCTATAGACTAAACATCTTCATACAATTTCTTAGATTAAAGAAGTGCTGTTAAATTGCTATTGTTTTATGTACATTGTGATCCTCAAAACAGTAGTGTTAATATCCTCAATTTCGGATAATTTCAGATTTCCCATTAGAATAATTACCTGAAGATAAATATTTCTGATCTAGAAGTAAAATAAGGAAAATATTGAATTTCCTCCACTGAATTTCCTTTCAGCCAGGCATTGGCAGGACAGTGGTGTACAAATTATGGGCTACAAACTTACAATCTTTATAAAATTCAGTGCAACAAGCAGGTTAGTTAGAAACAAGTCATGTTAGAAGTCCTGAAGTGGTGTGCTCTTGTCTTTTGCTGTGGATCCAGGCTGTAAGGCTGTATTATTGTTGATATTTATAACCTCTGTTGCAGCTATGAAAAGAAACTTGTGGACCAGGGCTCTATATGCTACCAGAATAAGAGTTAAGGACAAACGCAGCACTAGTCACAACAGAAGAAAAACTGGGTTGCTCAGGTCACACATGGTATGGTACAGTCCAGCTGCTAAAACTCATTAGCTATGTTCCGGGTTGAATTTGAAGTCACACTGTGGGATTCACTTCAGCTAATTTTTGTTACCTAAAACATATGGTTCCAGTCTAAGGCAGTCACTGTAGTCTTTTCCAGAGGCAGAAAAGCTCCTTCAAAGGATATTTCTCTTTATCTTGTGAGAAAAATCTCAATAATTTTTTCAGACAGGGTCTTCTGTGAAGCAGAAGAATTTTAGAAGAATTTTATTCATAACTGCAATGGCGAGCGTCCTGCAAGCAGGAGCGCATGGTAAAAGTTTATCATAACCTTATATTCCTATTGCCCAACACCTGGTTTCTCCCATTTCCTCATTGACTGGGTACTATAGGTTCACAACATACTCAACACCCATACCATATATGTACAATTTTATTTGACCAAACATTATTTTCTCCTTTTCCTCTTTTGTTCCTCGTGACTAGAGGGCCTGTGATTTTTGTATTTACTGATTTTGCACTGCTCATCCTGTTTTTCTTAGTTATCCTCCTTATTTTGGGACAGTGGGACCTTCTCCTTATCTTCTTAACATACTCCCCACTGCTATGCTACTGTCATGCCTGCACAATCACTTTTGAATATGCAAGGTTAGTGGAATTTTACACTGCAAAAACACCTTCTTTTGCAAAAACACAACTTTATTTCTCACAATCTCACTGGTGATGTCCAAGACAGAGGGAAAGAATCTCTCCTCAGAAGTGTTGGTCTCTCATCAGTGATGATACGGGTAAAGTACACATTTGCCTGAACACAGGTGCTTAGAAAACTAAGGCTAGATGAGGTAAAACCCATTCTGGCATATGTCTATAAGCATACAGCTTAAAGCAGCTTTATTATACATTTAAATGTTCAGAAAAGAGGTGCTCCTTTTTAACAACTTTATTCAAAGACTGTGTCTATATTTACATAAAAAATTTTTGTGACACCAGAAACACAGAAACCAAACATATTAATGGAAAAGGAATGTAGGAGGCTAGGAATACAATCCTTTTTTTTTTCCATGTAATGAGAAATAAGGTAAGGAGTCAGGATAGTACATCCAGCTTCAAGAGCAGTTGGCAAATCTGACGTCCAGTTTCTCACAAAAAGGTCTACACCCTGGCAGTTTGGATTTTGGATGTGTGTGCAGTGTTTTTAATCTCCTCAGGCTGTGATAGAAGCCGAATGTGCCACTGCATCTTGTATGTAAGCTCCAGCTGCCAGTAGACTATTACATCAGATAGGGGAATCCCTTCTTCTGGGAGTGTTTCTTGAAGGACAAGAGTGGGTCAAACTCCATGTCTTTAAGGAGCAAGTGAGGGCCCTTTCTAGCAGAAAAAGATGCCATCCCTGCTTCCTGAGAGTTATGTCTACGTAGCTGAAAGCCGCATGAGGCCAGTTGTATTCAAATAAAGACTTTGAAAACCTTTTTTTCATGTCTATGTGGTTCAGGATCATTATTTTTGTGTGACTAACTCAGCTCATGTGTTGTACAGAGTTTTGGCTCCTAATTTTGCTTTTGTAGATACCTAGATTTGTACCTAAGCTCTTGTATGAATCTATCTCATAGTCAACCCACAACTTACTTGTCTAGGCTTATGGAGACAGGTGGCTGAAAAAGATGCAAAGAAGCAGAATGAAACTGGGGACTAGGTGTAACACTAAGAGAAGCATTTGAATATCACAAAAAAAAAAAAAAAAAAAAAAAGATGAATAAATATTAAAGAGTGATAGTTTACCTTAAAAAAAAACAACACAGATTTCCTGAAAATAAAGGCCTTGCTCTGCCAGCCTTTTCAGGAAGAAATGCAGATTATTCTGATTATAGCAACTGTTGGCAGAAGAAAGTACAACTTGGTGTGAGTAGGAGAATGAGAAATTTGCGGAGGCTATGCATTTAGCAGAACTCAAAAATGACATGACATTCATATGCATATCAAGAATATTCAGCATTATCACAATTAATGGTGAAAAAGAACTGTTGAAAGAGTGTTAAATCTTGTGCCTCAAGGACAACCTCTAACAACAAAAACCCAAGAGGATATTTAATAGGGCAATGCAGTTTATCCCATGTCTTTTTCTACAAGAACTTTACATCTTTCCGTGAAGTACCTGATCATGGCCAGTATCAGAGATCAGATGCTAAGCTGGAAGGATCTTCTGTCTGCTTTTGCCTGGCAATCCCTGGAAAGGCTGTATTTTAAAAAGTTGGTGACAGCCGATGTCTAGGTTCTTTTAATGAAGTATAAATTTAGAAACCTCCTTCTGAATTAAGCATTTTAGGTGGCAGAGTTAATGTTATATCAATTTGAAGGAAAGAACCTAGAATAAAATAGAAAGGGAAAAGATTAATATTTGAAAATTAGAAAGTAATTTTCAGTAACACAGGTGGACGGCTGGTTGAAAAATGTATAAATTAAGACCTACAGGAAAAAAAAATATCTACCTCATAAAGAAAGCATTAAGAGTGATATAATAATTTACATTTTACATAAGTGACATTCTTTTTAGATTTCCCCCCCATTATACTAAAGGTTACATCCCTATAAGCACACAACTCCAACTGCTATCACTTTGCATTGATACCGATGAGGACAGCAGACACTCAACATCTTTCTGTAGGTGTTTGTTGTATTGGACCTGGCCTTTGTTTTCACAGCCAGAAAAGCAACAGCAAAAATTGCACCAGCTGCAGGGAAGCAGAATTCATTCCTATCGGCCAGCCATAGCTTAGCAACAGGATTTATACTGCATGCATGCAGGGAGAATCTTTTGATTTATTTCAGGTAAAAAAAGATAACTTTTTTCCAGAAATTTCTGTATACAAATATTTGAAAAATATAAGCAAGAGAGAGGCCCAGTCTCCTAAGCACATACCTCCTTCCAGACCCTTGTCTGACCTCAAAGTTACTCTCTCTTGTCACTGACCCATCTAATCACCTTTGTGCTGCTTTCTCAGAAAAGGCCTGGGAAAACCCATCAGCTTTGCAATGTAATCTGAAGGTCATCACATTTTCATTTTCTTGGCCAATTCTTTCTTTGACCAAGACTTAATATTGGGTCCTTCAAAAAAGCTACATTTGATAAAGCAGTTACCTTCAGAATTTCAAACAGCTTTTAAAATGTTGTGTAATTAACCATCTGTCTTTATAGCTGAGTCTAAGAGGAATTAGAACAATATTTTTTTTTTTTACAGAATAACACAATAAGTTTATTTTTGTTTAACAGCAAAGAAGAAATATTGGCAACGTCTGATGATGATGTATGGAATAATTCAAGAACTTCAGGTACAACACCTGGTTTAATTAGCTTTCCTTACTGCCCTTGTTAATTAAAAACATACTGTAACAAACAATCCCATGGAAATTATTCAAGTATGTTTTTGTTAACTCTTCAGACAAAAGCATCCCAGAGATTGTTTATTCGCAAGCAGAAGACAAAGAGACTGATCCACCTAATGAAAATATAAAAGATAAAAATGCAGAATACAACCAGGGTGATCATGAAGATGATGAAAAAGAATTAGAGTTGCTGGTAAGTGTTATACAATTATATCTACAGTTTTAAATGATATGAATCCATTTACTCTTCAAAGCTGGTGAAATGCCCCCTTTTAACAGAGCTGACTGATGTACTAATTTACAAATGTAAAGCCTTGGTCTGTACTTTCATTGAATCTCTAACTGATTCAACAATAGAAGGTGCTTTGATTTCAGCGTAGTGCATCAACTTTTTCTGGTCTTAAATTAATGACTTCTCCCTTTTACTTCTTTACCAGAGGCTCTAAGTGACAGTTTGAAGGAATTAGACGACTAATATTTCAAAGATCTCTCATCCTAGTATCTAGGATGGGTATATTCTTACATAAACGCTTTATATTTGGTATAATTCTTTTATTTATGGTACTGTTAGCCTTTTATTTTTTTTCAACAGATACCTATGTAATGTGCTATATGAACAAAATACATACATATATATATATATTTTATATAACAGATTTTTCTATGTCAGTATTTGGCATTACATTTGTTATAATAAATTTCACACTCAGTGAGCATTCAATCTATTTGGATTTGTGTGTGTGCATGTGTGTGGTTTGGCTTGCATTTTTCAGTATGAAAGAAAAAAATGGCAATAAATGAGACACATACAGCTATCTATTATTCTCAGTGTCTGTTCTCAGCTCATATCATTTGGGTGCATAGATTCATAATCATAGATTATAATAGCTATCACCTGTGAAAATGTGAATGTTGAATCAGGAGAGGAAGATGAGAACCATTCTTTTTTTCTTTTTCTTTTTTTTTTCTTCTTTTCCTTATTGATATATAGAGAATAATTTGCCTTATATGAATATATTTTTCTTGCCTTTTCTCAAAAAAAAAAGTTCCAAATTGTTGCCTATTGTGGGACATTTCACTGCCTGAAAGTCAGTCTCTCTCTCTCTGTCTCTCTGTCTATCTCTCTCTCTTTTTCTTTTATGATGAAACATAAAAAAGGAGGACCTCTAAAATCCCTTGTTGTTCTCAGTCCACTCTGTTACAGAAAGCAGGATCAAATATAACCGTTTGTTTATCAATTGCCAGGATTGTCTGTACAATAAATGAAGGGGGAGCTATAATTTAGATGTTAATTTGCACTATGCGCTCTTTAATGAATTAAACAATGAAGGCTTATAATAGATGGAAATACAACCAAATCTTTGAAACGCACAGGCATTGGCTCACAAGACAGCTGTGCAGTTGACAAGTAACATGAGCCTTATGTGAGAAGAAGGGGAAATCGTAAGATTTGCATATAATTATTGAGATCATGCAAATGTCAGTTATGAGGAGGGGAAAAAAACACAGGCATCTCACTGTTAAATCCTGACAGTTGGCATCACCGAAGAACTCAAATACACTTGAGCACCGGTTGGCAGAGGGTCATTAAAACAGAATTTGCAGAGACATTAGCTCCCTCACTTTTCTTTGAGTGACGTTTTGCTATTAATAGTTTGCAGAGGCTTTGCAGAAAACATATTAATAAGAGAAACTGTAATGGGGGTATCTACAGCAAGTGCAAATGCATAAAGGGGTGCCCAAGAAGCTAGCCTCTAATTGATCAGCTAGTGCTATCACTGTGACTATGCTAAAGTGAGAAGAGAGTGTAATGACAAGCAGGCATAACTGAATAATACAATATGGTATTTGGAAGCTGGGAGGGAGAGTGATTAGTTTCTGGCCTTTTACTTTGCTAATCTCATTTCCAACTCATGTCTTACTAGATTGTCTAAAAACAGTCTGGTTGAAGCCTATAAAATGGTCCCTGAGAGAAATGAAGCAAAGATAATCCTTACAGTATTTGTCAGTGTGAAATATGTCTTTGTTTTACTGGACAATACTGTACATTACCAGGCTTTGATGTACTGTATCAATGCCCTCATTTAAGCGCCAGTCCTCCCCCCTCCAATGCCTCCCTCTCTCCAAACCTAGAACTGAATGTGCAGAGAATGAATTAGCTTCCCTTTAAGGGAATATTCTCTTCAGATTTAATTTGTATAAAATGCACTAGCAGCTTACTGAACTCATGAATAAAGAGAGAGGGTTCTGAATTCTATTTTATTTCCTGCTCCTTTCAACACCACTATAAAGCTCATTACCTATGTTAAAAAATACATACAATGCAAATTTTGCAAATGGTTTGGAACACGTTTCCATAAAAGCTTTGTTACTGAAAACAAAACTTTCAATAACAAAATCCTGCCTCATTCATTTGGCATATTTTTGTAAAGCGCTTTTTGATCATTCTTTTCTATTCTATTGTTTCAGCTAAATCAGCACTTCACAGGAGCTAAAGGTACCTCTACCAGAGATGAAAGGAATTTAGACACAACAGAACCAGTTAATTTTCCAAGTGAAACTGAAAGATTGGAGAAAAAGCTAACCAGTAGAGAAAGAAGCAGTGACTTGCTGAGGCACCCTGTGCCTATCGGTTCCTCATCTGAAAATACTTCACAAGAGATAGGAAAAGAATTAAAAGATAATGCTAAGTATTCCATAAGAGATCGTAATAGTCAGCCATTAGGAAAGGAAGTCACTGCTGGCTCAGCAAACAGCAGCAAGCAGTCTTGGGATCATACTGGTACCAGTGATACCCTTTCATCAGCAAAATATTTTCCTGGAACAAAGCAGAATGAGGCTATCGATACTGTGGCTACTATCTCAAGCCGACAAGGAGAAAGCCACACAGATATTTCAAGAGGTGAAACAGACAGTGCCTCAGGAAGTAAGATGATGGAGAGGTTATTCATCAGTGAGGATGCTGCTGATACCTCAAAAGAGACCTGTGAAATGAGACCAGAAACCATTTCTTCAGTGCATGATGAATCCCTGCAATTAAATACGTGCATAACAGAAACGCTGGATGGCAATGCTAATCCAGCTCCAGAGCACCAGGCGCCGCAAACGACTCACCAAACTCTGGATTCATTGTTGTCAGCCACTGACAAAAATGAAGGAAAAATCAAGATGATTGAAAGCAAAGTTCGGGTACATTTAAAAGGAGATTTATATGCCGACACTTTTGCAAATGCTGATGGCTCAATAGATTCCACAAAAAGCCAATACACACACACAAAAGGAGCTGGTGAAATGTCAGAAAAGAACTATAGCACTGATACAGAGAAGGAGAAGAAAGTCATTGAAGTAGCAGACTTAGCACTAATCGGAGAGGAAGAAGCACCCAAGTTTTTCAAATCACACAGAAAACATTCTACTAAAACCTTCAACACATCATCCCTGTCTGCTGAAGACAACAGGCATGCACCCGGGCCTAAGCAAGCAGATCCCAGGGCCTGCTCCCTGGGGGACGAAAGCAGAGCTGAAGACACTCAGGAACACAGAGGATTCACAAGGTTAAAAGACAGAGGAAAGTCAGACAACAGAAATAATGTAAGACTTATAGGGAAGGAAAGTGAAGCAAATGCCACAGAACAGGTGTGGAAAAAAGCAGATAGTGGGGTTCGGTGGGAAGCAGGGGGTGATGCGAGGTCTCAGAGTATGGCTTACACAGAAGAGCTGTTTACCTGCCAAGAGACAGAGAGTTGTGAAAAGTCTCCTGTCTCTGAGCATGGTATTACAGGGAAAGCAGAGGCAGGTACAGCTTATATAATTAAAACAACATCAGAAAGTGCTCCAGAAAAAATGTCTGCCAGTGAAAAAGCAGTAATTGCTAAGCTACCTCAAGAGACCGTACTAAGTGACAGGCCCACAGAGGAAAAGGAAACAGCGTTTGATACACATGAAGGGAGAAATGATGGTTCACATTATGCTCTTTGTCAACTCAACACAGTGGGTGTATTATATGACACCGAATTTGAAAAGGAATCAGTTTTAGATACTTATAATGCACGCGTACATGAAACACTGCAAAGAGAAATGATGTCTGTATGCAATAGCAGGGAAAAACGTGCCAAAGCAAAATCAGACATTGGCAATATTCTACCTGTAGGAGAAGCCATAAAGGCTTCTGCTATGGGAAAGAAAGATGGCTTGGGGCAGGGTTTATATTCAGAAGAAGTATCTAAATGTTCCTTGAGCACCCAAAAACACCTATATGGTGAGGAAGTGGAAGAGCTCTATAGGGAAGAAAGCTACCTTGGAACACCTTCCTATCTGCATGCTAAAGCTGAAACAAAAATGTCACCCTCTGGTACAAACACTATGCCCAGTTACCACTATAAAAGCTCTTCAGTGGCATCTTCTGAAGGGTTCACTGTGGCAGGAGACATGGGCCATCCATATATTCACTCTGATTTCAAAGTAATTGAAAAGGTTTTTGCTGAGTCAGGATGTGATTTAAGTCTACCAAATGAAATGACATGTATTAACAAAAACCTCTCTTCTGAAGCTGGAAGAAAAGAAGTACCTTCCACTTCAGACATGGCCATTTCTAGGGAAGAAAGAGGGAAGAATATAGGTCAATGTTTCCATCAAGCAGAATTCAAACAAGAGAAGTCATTGAGGCCAGAAATTTCAATTAGTGAGCCTACCAAAGAACTTGGCAGGAAGGGCTCTGATTCTGACCATTTAATAACTGAGGAGAAAACACGAAATTGGCTTGATGATTCACAGAATGAAAAGCAGCATGTTTCTAATTCTGCAGATATTTCTGACCAGAAAAGTGAAGGACATGTGCTGCCTAATGAATCTCCAGGTTTAAAACATATTGGTTACAAAATCTTTTATTTCTTTTTCTTTCTTGTGCTTGCTGCAACGCTCTATCACTATGATTTGATGGTTTGTCTTGCACTCTACCTGTTCTCCTTGTATTGGTTATACTGGGAAGGAGGAAGAAGCAAGGAGTCTGTCAAGAAAGAATAACATTCTTTGATTGTCAGCTGTGCTCAGGATCCATGGTCAATATTCTCCAACTCCTCCAAAACATTTTCACTGTTAAAGAGCTTATTCATTGTTAGAACCAAAGCAAGGTTTCCACTGAAGCATCTTTTAAAAAAGATTACATATGAAGTTGAGCCTTCATATAAGTAATTATACTATATAGGACCATTATGTTTGGATCATTAAATACCTACATGAATATGAGATCTGAAGCACGTCAACTTAAAATGAAGTACAGCTGTTGCTCCTTAGCAGGCTATGAAGAGGCAATGCTTCATATCTCTTTAGTACTTAAAAACACCATTTTCTTGCATTAATTTCTTTTGCAGTAAAGCTTCATTTTTTTTCTGGGATTTTTTTTTTTTTTTTTTTTCCTAAGGAGTACATAATACAGGGAAAGGTATAATAACTAACTCAGTATTTTGCTACTGATATTGCAGTTGATAATCTGTTAGTGTAATTAAGCAATACTCTAAGAAATATGACATCTGCTGATAGGCTATTTTCTTCTTCCAGATTTTTATTTTGTGGTTTTGACTTAGTGCTACATTGAAACCCCTGTTTGAAAATTGTAAAGTTAGACTCTAGTTACATCATGAAACTTTCTGGATATACCTGTGTAGAGGAATGGACATATTTTCCACCCTGAAGAGATAGAAGGTCACAGCCAGAGGCCTCTTACAATTCATGCACTTGCACAAATATTTTTGTTTTATTTGTAAATGACGATTGTGTAACACAATTGAGAATTTCACTGAACTGAGTGTTATTCCAGGCAAATGCTTTGAATGATATTTTTTTTCACCAGTGTTGTTTGAGCATATCTAAAAATCATTAAATAAATTTTACAAAGGAGTGCTATGACTGAGCATGTCTGAATTAGGCTTATTGCTTTTTTCTATGGCTTGTTACCTAAAGATAATCATGCACCAAGAGAAAATTCAGGAAACAGCCCTGGTGTTTAGTGTGATTTAGGTGAGACATAAAAGCCTGGTGTCTGCCCTAAGAAGAGCCCAGAGAAACAGACCTCACACAGCAGGCATCCTGTAGGCTCCTGTTTACTGCAGGTATGCTGGAGACTCCACTGCTCCAACATCACTGGTCTCTCATACAGGGTCATGCCCAAAGTTTGTCAGGGAGGAAAGGATGGACAGGTTATGTTGCACTACAGCTATTTTCCAGATGACGGCCACAAAGGCTATGATAGGCTCTATATTAAAACAAGCACCAAGGCTGTATGTTACTGGAAACCTAGAATTTAAGAAGAAAAGGGATGTTTTAAGGCTTTTTTTTTGTTGTTGTCTTTTTTACCTTTTTTTTTCTTTCCTCTCCTTGGCTCAATACTGCCAGTGTGAAATTATTGCCAGTGTGAAATATCACATTGACTGTGAAAGGTTTGGTTGTAATACATGGCTGAAGCTCCATAATAATCAAGTTATTTAGTTGTTAGCTCTGCAACAAGTCTTTTAATGTTGGTTTAAAACTTATTTACATGTTTCAGGATGTTAGGAGACTCTGTTACAGGAGGGACCTTGACATTCTTGTTCTCAAAGCAAGTAAAATTTTGGAACTTTGTGGGAATGATGCATTCAGTGGGAGTGAGCAAATGTGTGGGTGATCTGTTGCTGATGTGCATGCTGACAGCTGGATGCCTTGACAACTCTTGATAGCAATCCATAAATGAGTTTTAGTGATGGGCTGGAGGCACTGATGGGGTACGCAGAAGTCTGTAATACTAGTCTAGATCTTCAAAGGCATATAGAAGCCAAATGCTCATTGAGATAAAGAAATTAATTCAATAGGTATTAGGAGCTAGATCCAATAAAAAGCTTAGGCTTAGAGTTAAAGCAGGATTGAGGTTGAATCTGTGTAAGTCCAAAATAATGATCTCAAACTCTTCTTTACCTGGAGACCACAAACATTGAAAGAATCTAGCCTTTTTATGATGAACCTAGGCACTTTTTAAAAGAGCATGACATTCCCTTACTTTTGGCGGTTGCTCTCTGCAGTTTGACAGGTCCCTGGTCTAAGTGGTTCAGCATTTAAACCTCACTAGGGTAGAGAACTTTGGTGTTACTTCACTTCCCAGTACATTGGGAACTCTCAGGTAGTGCCTAATATATTCTGACAGGGTCAAGGTTCTCAGTTGGAGGGTTAAAAAGGTGAAGAAAGCACCCTGCATCTGTCATGCTGAAATTGTCACTTTGCAGTCGAGTACCAGACCCCTGGGGCCTGAGAGACCAAGAACACAAGAAAAATCATAGTCTAATAGTTTTAAAAAACAGACCAGAAGAAAGAATCTTTAGTTTCAGTTCCCAGTTCAAAGTGTTTCTCAAACTAATTTACCCTATAATATTAAAAAAATAAATAAATCAGAAAATTCAGAGTGAGGACCAAAACTCAGGTTCCTGTCCTGTTAGGTAAATGTAGTCTATTAAACTGCAGGATTCAAATCCGTGTTTGAATATCTTCAGTTTTACCAAATTTATGCCTTCCACCCATCAGGATATATTTTGACAATGAGACTACTATTATTTTCAAGAGGAATCTGGTCCCCAGGGCTTGGAAGTATCCATATGCATAGGTGGGCTCTTACTTTTTCAAATTAATTAGCTCAAAGTGGTTCCCTGGCCAAAATTATAGCTACCATTGGCTTTCCATTTGAGGCTAGAGAATTTGCAGCCCACATTCTGAGAGAGTTTTCTTCTCTCAGAGCTTTGGTCCTGAAAGAGATCTGTAATATGTGAAAGATCTGATTTTTAGAAAAATCTAAGTCAGACCTACAAATGCCTGAGAGACCTAAATAACCTTGAACACCTTGGACACAGGCCTTATTGCAAGCAGAGCTGAGCAGCCCAGCCATCATGGAAGTGGACAAGCTTGCTTGTAATTTTTGTTGAATCTTGGGGAATCCAAGGAGTACATACTTCGGGACTCTTGTGCACTTTGACCTGGAAGCCAAGATATCCTGCAGCCACAGGAACTCTTGTGTGGTAGTCTTTGTTTGTAGTATGGAAGTTGAAAGTGGTTTCTCATTTATTTCAGCCCAAGTTATTTGGTTGTTTGACAAAGATTCAGCTCAACTAATTGGACAGCAATAAAAGAGGTCAGGGATAACTGATAGGTCCAGGAGTATGGGTAGAAGAAAGTTGTTTGATTGAATCAGTGTCTAGAGAACAGCAGAAAAATATTCTGGAGAGCCCAGGAAAATCAGTATGATCTGAAAAAAAAGAATGTGGATGATAAATAGAGAGGATATACTAGTACAGACATTCTTTAAAAATTAGTGGGTTTCAACAATGTGTCATAATACATTTAAACCAGTTGCTAAGTATTAGCTAAAGTTTAGCTAAGTTGCTTCAATTTCTACAGAAAGCTAGCTCAAAATAGCTGTATTTCTGTGTCCAACAAATTAGTCTGGGTATGCCTTTTTAGCAGGTACAGTCATTCAGAGTTGGAATTTACGGTAAATATTTGAATGTTAGAATAAGCATATTTCACCTACATACAAGTGGAATACTGTTAGCATTTCTCAGATTTGGAATGGGATTTTTATGTTCTATGTTTAAGATATTTAGTCAGCATATCGTACATTATGATTGCAAAATAGGACTCTAGACTGATCTGTGAACACAGGTGCCTGAACTTTTAAGTACCTATGTACTTAAAACAACAAAGCAAGTAATTTTATCTTTTTTTTTTTTTTTTTTAAATTATTTGTCATTTGATAAGATATCTTTTAAAAATCCTCTTACTTTTGTTTGTAGTATGAAAACAACACCATTATGACATTGGCAAAATATTCATCTTTTACTTATTTCAGGGAAGAAATAAGTAAAATGTGTAGTTTTTTTTTTTGCTGTGATTCATTTTGCTTGCCTACTAGGCCTCAGTAACATATTTATAGTCAATAGTTTCATTTCTGGTAGTTTCTAGTTATTTCTTCAGGCTACACTACAGAAAGAAGTTATGACTCTCTGTGACAGGCCCATGGCCATGAAAGGTTCAACCCTGATACAATATAGTGGAAAAAAAGCTTGCTTGTATTGCTACAGGTATATGAGGTATATACATCTCATACCATGGGAATTATGTCCCATGACTATTATCTGAATTGTACATGTAACAAATAAACACATTTTTGTATTGTGGCATATATAATTTATTGAATTTACTTAAATAGAAATATGGGGCAGCAGGGAAAGGAGTGGGAAGAATGTCTGTATCCACATACCTTGCTAGGAGATAGTGAGAACAAACTACATCATTAATTTAAAAAATATTTGATGTTAATTGCTTGTTGCTTCTTATCCATCAGTAATTTTTGTCTTGGCACTAGATAGGCTGCACAAACAAGCTATAGGCTTCTAAAGGTCAATGTAATATTGAAAATGAAAAATAAGGTGGACAAACTATGAACTAGAACCATAGAGGAAGGTTAGTATGGTAATTTTCTGTGTCACTATACTAATTTTTTGGTACCTGAGTGGTATATACACTGCTGAAGTAAATGCCTAAGCTCTCTAGTCATCAAACCTAAGAGAATCAAAATAGATATTGTGTTGGAAAGGAAGCAGACTAAGTTATCTAACAGGAGAACCTGATAGCAGGGCTGGGTCTTACATCCTTGCCCTGTCAGAGGGATTAGGTACTTAATTCTGGGCTGCAGGGGAATGTTTTTATCAGATCAGGTTTCATATCCTGCAGCCTTCTTGTGCAGTGAGGTACCTAAACTGCTACTTTCAAAAACAGAACACTTTGCAGAAAACAATCCCAGAGACTTGGGACTGAGGATAGGAGAAGTTTAACTCCTTAAAGCATGCACTAGGGCATTCATCTAAGAGGGAACATACGGATACAATCCTTGTTCCTAGAAAAACTCAAATATTTTATGTGAAATTCTAATAAGATAAGTAATAAGTACAAAACTGACACCAAGATTTCATATATCCTCAGCTAGGTCCGCTTCCTCAGATTATAAAATCATTCTTCCAGGGCTACACCAGTGCCTCATGAATCAGTGCTGGAGGATTGTTCAAGTCATGAAGGTATCATAGAAAAAGGGGTAACATCACCAGTGGCTGAACCCATTGTGCTTTTTGAACACCTTGAGCTGGTATCTGTGCTCTAAGTTTAGGCCTCTGATTGGACCAAGTAACTGGACTGGTAAAATGCTTAAATGTCTCAAAAGATAAGTGGAATTTGTGGATTCCTCCTAAATCCCAACACAGGATTATATCTTCAAGCAACTATGTCCTTTTGTGGATCTCTGCTAAGCTTTCTAAAACTTGTATTTTTTTTCTGAAAGCACTGTCTGCAAAGCAAACCATAGAGATACATAGATAATAAGGGAACTCGTGATGCTTTGCTGACCTAAGAGGTCTTGAAGCTGCTGAGGGTTCAGAATCGAGGTGGTAGTCCGGAGTTCTGGTCTTTAGGTATAGGGGGGGAATTTCAGACCAAAACTAAAAGCTCAGATATACATCTGAGTGAAGACAATATTTGTGAAACAGGGTAGGTAGGCTGAAGGGAACTGATAGTTTCTCAGTTCTGAACAGACATGAAGTAGGTGAGCTGAGTCATTTAATGAGTGAGGTATGTATAACTTGGTGGTACATACAAGGTATGTGTGTGCATATGTGTAGGTGGCACTAGGACAAGTGGGTGGAAAGGTGAGAACTAGATTTCATGGGTGAGTGAAGAAGAAATAATAAACAGAATGGATAATTGTAAAGTTTCTGAACAGCCTCTCTAAAAACACGAGAGTTTAATAAGTTCTGAGTAGGTTGGACAGATAAATATGGTATTAGCTATATAGATTAAAGTACTAAAAATGAAAGTATATGCTAACTTCTTTCGGTAACTGTTATCAGTTACTACTTAATAGCATTGCAGTGGATTATATCTTGCCCTTGAAGTTAATATTCAGTGATTTAAGATCAGAGAATGGCTCTGAGGACCAGAAAAAAAGACTTTCTCAGGATGGTGTACCCTCCATGAAGGGACTACTGCCAGCTGAGCTGGAGTGGGAAAATTACCTCATAGCCTTTTTCTCATCTCAGTCCCCAATGACAAGAACCTATGGGTATTAGCAGTAAACAAGGAGCACATGGTACACATCAGACTATAAGAATGTAAGGAAATTCAGTGAGGAAATACAAAAATATCTTAACTAATTAAGCTTCCGTACTTCCTGTGTGGCCTTGTAAAGTTCTGAGCCACCTAGGATTTTCTCTTTTTCCCCCCTCTTTTTTTTTTTTCTCTTTGTTTGCTTTTTTTTTTTTTTTTTCCCATTTGTTTTTGTTGGTTAGTTTTGTTCTTTGGCTGTAAAAAGACATTCAGATTCCCAGGGACCACAGGGCACGAACATGCCTTGCATATCCTCTTATCTCTGATAGCAAGTAGATCACAGAAAAGTAGTCTCATATGAGCCTCTATACTGGTTGTATTTTTGTGGAAATTTCTTCTCCTTTCCACCAGTGTAATCTTTCTGGGCCTAAGCTTGCCAAGTACTTGTGTTCCTGGCACTGTCTTCTCCAAGACAGAAGACTGCTCCATACTGCTATACTTCCCAAAAAACTCCGAAGGGGGAATGAGAACTGCCAAAGGATAGATAGTGAAGGAGCCATCTTACTAATTAAAGTTCTTTATTCCAGTGCAACCAGGAGCAGATTGAACTCTTTAAATACAGCAACAGTGATCTCTTTGGGGAAAAGCCCTGGTCAAGCTCCTTCATACAAGCTATACGCTTTTCTGTCCCTCTGTGTATTACGGATCAACTGAGATCCATGACTGACAGATGGCAAGAGTAGGAAGTCTTTTGTGTACATTTCTTACCTCTTAGAATAGTCTAGGCTGTTGAATGGTTCAGGGACAGAGACAATAAAGGAAGAGTGACAGAGAGAAAGCAAGCAAGCTTGTCTGTACTGTTCCAGAGGAGGCAAGAGGTTCAGAAATAAGCAAATTATCTTCTGAGTTCATTTGAGTTTGTGATCAACACATCACTGTTCTCATGCTGCACTTCGGAAAAGGACACAAAACCAGATGTGCCTTTTCATTTTCATTTCCAGCATATTAGTAATAACAAAAACTTAATTATAAGACGGCTAATTGATGAAGGTTGTGATCCTGGCTGTAAAGGCAATGCCTCTGTTGGCCTTACAGGCGAAAGGGACAGGCTGCCGTAAATGCAGAGCATTTGGATGGAGTGGCCAGGACGTGCTAACTGCCCACTTTGCTGGGATTTTACTTCCATGTTTCACGTACACCCACTCACGTGACCATTATCAGTCTCTTAAGTCACCTATGTCCTGAAGCACAGACACTTGTCTTCAATCTTATTTTAATTTGCATGGTAAATTTCCAGTACAGTAATACTCTGTTTTATTCATTACATGATATATAATTTGATATAAAGAAATGTTTAAATAAGCTGTTCATTGTCTTGAAATTGTAAAACATTGCAAGATATAAAGTACAAGAAACTCAACACTACGAACTGCTACTGCGACCTTTTAGACTAGCTGATCTGGACAGACTTACACCTGTAGCTGTACATCATCTTTAGCATAGATATATTGACTGAGAAGCAAACATAATGATTTTTTAAAAGTGTGTTGCCTGAAATTGCATAAAGCAATAGCATGACTTGCCATGTAATAAATGTATTTTCCTTTTACTTCTACAAAAGTAAAGAACTTACAAATTTATTAAACACAGGTTATAAATTAATGACAACTGTAATCTCATCAATACTAATTTTAATAAAACAATGCTAAACCATTTCTATTTTGTGGATGCAAAGCTACACATTTTACCATGTACAAGACATCACAATTTTCATATTTCTTTGATTTGTGGAATATTTAAGTTATATTTTTGTGAGCAAATCTGCTTCACTGGCCAAAGGGCTGGACCCAGGAAAGGGCTTAGGTGGCTACCAATGAGGAGTGAAACCCCAGGCATCTGTATAAGACCTTTGTGTTCTCTATGCAATGCAATGAAAAATGAAGCACTTCTGAATGACATCTTAGAAACCTGACTATAGGTTATTTTCTAGTTTTGAAAAGAAAGTCATCTGGTGAGTATAGACAAATTCTGAAACATAGAAGTCACAGGTCAGTGGACACAGTGGGGAAGATATCTTACCCACTGATACCAAGCTATCAGTACTCTGCAGTCTTATCCCCTGTGAACTCCCTGTTCTGAACTTCAGGTGGGGCATTGGGATGCCCCACCACTACTTGCACATTTGTATTTCCTTCTCCAAGGTCACAGGGAGGAAAAGATATCAGGTATATGTGAGGTCTCCTAACAGGGTTGACCAGGGCAGACCGTGGATCCTGCTTCACAGTCAAAAGCTGCCATGAACCATTTTGATTTTGGATTAACATAACTAAACTGCACCTAATTCTTCTTTTAAACACTTGAGACCTTTATAAGCTAACGTTATCCAACCTATTCAGTGCATGAGAAGAGATAGCAATTTGGAATAGAACTTTGGAATGTTACTCTTAAATAAGTTAGTAATAAAAAGTTACAATTCCCCTTCGATACCTACCTTCTTTCTTTCCTGACAATATTTTGCCTCCTGTTTGGTATCAGAATTATAATTAAGAGAACTTTCTTATTAAGTGCCCTGTTCTTTAATACTTATGTCTTTTTAACCATTCATATTCCACAAGTACTCTCATTCAATTCAACCTTATGATTAGTGCATTTGTCCTTTTATACTTTTGATGAACACAAAGACAAATATTTACTCAAAGATATAACAAATATATTAATCATATGCAAATAAAAAGATTATTTAATTTATTACCTTTACATTATTAGTAAGCAAATCATGACCCAAGGCAGACAGATGCCAAATAGGCTGGTTCTGGCAGTCAAAAAGATAAAGCTCTGCCATGGAGAATCTGAAGAGAAGTGACTGCAAAAGCAGCAAAGTCAAACTCCTGGCCCTGCAATTCTATTGAACAACTACTCTCCTAAAAGGACAGGAACTCTTCTAGTACTACAGATGCTCAAAATTTCAGGGAGAACTCGTCTAACCACATTAAAAAAAAAAAAATAAATTACAATCCTTCAAGTGCCTACCATGTTGTCTTCACAATATTTTTCACCTTATTTAGTATCCATGGTAAAGAATATTATTTCTGCTATAATTTTGGCATGAAGGATCCTGCAGAGGCTGTGCTGTGACTGTAGATATGTTTAAATAGTACATTACTGATAGATGAAGGCTTGGTCAGCATGAGGCTGCTCACCTGCAGGGCAAAAATTGTTAAACACTGCCAGTGTGACAAGTGAGCCCTCCCTGTGAAGAGTTATTCTGATCTACTGAGATGGGAAAGTAGTTTTTGGTTGTCTTAAAGTATGGGACAACTAGCCCACATCTGCTTGGAGGGAAAGCAGAAATAGTTCATACATTGACTGAGTAATGCTTGAGGTGGCTGGGGAGACTTAAAGTTACTGGAGGGATTTAAAGTCATCCAAACCAAATTATTTCACAGATCTCAGTCTGGAATATATAAACTTTAGACAAATTCTTCACTTGGTTTTGCTTATAAAATCTTATTGAATTCATATAAATAATAAAGAAGTATAAATTATAAGTTGCATTGTGTCATTCTGTAGCTCAAGAAGTTGATGAAAATTTCACATTGATAATTAATACTTTTAAAGTATTAATGGAACAACTTTCCCATAAAAATCTACGCATTGGACAGTGCTGAAGAAAAAATGCTTAAAGCAGCATGCCTAGGACATGACCTGTGGAGATTGTCTATGTTGCCCACCATAGACTGGTAGGTCTAACAAGTCACACTGTATTACTTTTTAGGTAATTTTGGCTACAGATTTTGTTACGTTCTACAGCAATAATATATTTCATTACACAGTATTGACAACACCTCCTTGTTATTATTACTGGTGCTCTATATGCATATTTTGGGCTAAATATTTTCCCATAACAAGATACTTAAAAACACAGCTGGATATTCATCTCTTGAAAATTAATGGAAATTAAAAACACCATAGAAAATCACAGACACAACAAGGACATTTTTTGAGGATCCTGGATACTTGCTGGGAGCTGTGGACATTTCCTTTGAGCTATGAAATGAGAAAAAAGCAGATGAGAGGGCAGAGGAAAAACAAAGAAACCATTGTAGCACAATCCCCTTGTGCATGGGTGAATTTCCAGACAGCAATCCTTACCTGTCCTGCAAGCACTGATTAGGCTGGCAATAGCTCCCCTCTTTATGATCTATCCTCCTGCAGTGCCTGGAGAATGGGACTAGGGTGGGTTGGATTTGTGGGCCAAATCCTCAGGTGGCTGGCTCTATCATTTAGTGTAGGGATCCCCTGAGCTCCTGGGCCCTCTGGTTGTTTAAGACAGAAGAAGGTCCAGTTGGCACCCACAACCAGAGCTGCAGGGGGTAATACTGAGGGTAGAAATGGGGAAAAGTCTGCACTGGAGTGGAATCTGGCTCTTTTCAGCAGGTATGTAAACTATTCATGCCTTGGACAGCTTTTAACTCAGTGTTTTAGCAATGCTTGGCATAACAAGGCCCAAATTTTTGAGTCTAAGGAGTAACAGCTGTGTTTTTAAAGGTATTAAGGTAGTGAAATCAATGAAAGGTGGTTAAATCACCTTTTAATTGGTCTCTTACCCCTTAATAAAAGGTATGGGATACCTTTTTCTTTTGTAAAACATTTTCAGAGCATTTACTATATTATTTTTATTCTAACAAGTAAAGAGATTTTAAGACCAGGTGGAAGCGTATAATAGGGGCAACGTGAGAGACGCTGGCCAAATGGGGAAAAATATCTCTAAAACTTGCTGGCTGTTTCATCTGCAGGCAAGAGGAATTGCAGGCTGATGGCAGCTGACAGGAGCCAGAGCTCAGGGATGTGGGATGTGAGTGTCCCAGGAGCCAAAATGTTCTTTGACATCTCTGGCAAAAAATGACCATCATTATTATGATCTCCTGCATAGCACAGATCATGGCACTTCAAATAATGATCCCAGGATGAGAAAGTGTCTTTTAAAAATGGACCAATTCTTGATTTAAGGAGGAAGAATGAGAATGTATTGTGTCCTTTGATAATCTGTTCCAGTGGTTAATTATTCTCATTGTCAAAAATATGTGTCTTTTTTTTCTTGTTTGGATGTATGCTAATTTCAAACAGGTGTTTGGTTTTATTGTGCAATTAAAACACTGGAGAAATCTACAAGGCACTTTACACAAATGAAAATTCTGAAATGCTTTTTTATTATAAAACTTTTCAATAGTATAATTATGATAAAACAGTTTTTCAACTCTCCCTCTAACTGGCTTGTAATGATTTTGGAAAGAATTTGGCACTTTAAAGCTATAATTAGGAGGTAAAGATGTAAGACATTTTTATTTCTATAATATGAATTTATCTTTTATTTTAATTGTGAAAAAAAAAAACACACAATATTTTAAGTTAGTGTTTTTTACCAGCTTAACTCTTATAAGAACACTCCTATAACATAAGGATTGGCTTCTGCAGTCAAAGTGGGACTACACTAAGCATGGGATAAACAACTCTGAACCAACCCCAGAATAAAATTATTCTCAGAGCCAAAGTGAGGTTCACTTCTCAAAGAATGGGGAAAAAATGGAGCTACAACAGGATAAGACCCACGTGCTCTTTTTGCACGGCCATTGCATCCCATTTTGCTGCCTGAACAGAGTCACTACACACACCTGCCCCCCTCCCTATGGCCCAAAACACTGCTTTCTCTTACCACCTCTACCATCCTACAGCTCACCAGCAGCCACCCCACAGTCTGCCTTCCTTCTTGGCAAGTGCTTGGCAGCAGCAGTGCTGCCTGCTTGTGCATGCTGCCTGCAGAACCATGTGGCTGCATCCAGAACAGGGAAAAGACGTAGTTTACAGGGACATTGCCTAAGGGTCAGAAGCAGGCGTGGAGATCAGCCACAAGTGATGGTGATGGTGTCAGTGGTTCAGACTAAAACCTGTACAAGGCTAGAGTAATGTGATATGAAATGGCATCTGCTGGCAGCAGTGTGGCATGGGATGCATTAGCCCCCACCTTCTGCATGCTGTGGCTGGGGAGAGACACATTTGGTGTTCTGTTTGGTGTTTGTTTAGTACTATGGCTCTTCTTGCCAAAGCTCTGCCTTATGTCCTCATATAGATAACTAGCATATCTCATATGGAAGATCTGCGTGCATTTCCTCTCTTCACATGCATTATTAGCGATGAGAGTTTGTAACATCTCAGGGAAGAGCAGAATTTTCTTCTCTGGATTACAACCAGATCTTGATATACAAGGCACAGCGTTCAAACATGGTAATATTTGCATAGCTCACTTCTTTCCTTACAGTTCAGGAGGTAGAAGGGAACCAGCAGCATGGTAAGCAATATGTCCTGCTGGGCCAGGCATATTTCTTTTGTGAATCCGAGCAGCTCCTGTGGCAGCTTAGATAAGCTGAAATGCAAGCTCTTCAAGCAAAACATCAGGTGAAGATGTGACTTTATGCTGGCCAGTAGGAAAAAATGATCAGGGAGGTCGCAAGTGAAATGTCAGGAAAGAGGCATACCATTTGGCACGTTAGTGAAGGTGCCTTGTGATTTTGGGTGCTTGGTTGAAATAGAATATGGGCCAGGCATCTTTGGATGGGCACAGGAGCTGCTTTTGGAAATATTAGCTGTGATGTCTCACACATGATGTAGTCACACCGTACTCAACAGGGCACTGGGGGTCATGACACAGTACAGAATT